TTAGTTCTGGACTGACAGTTTAGCCCTTGTAACCTTCCCAACTGACCCTTCCTTGTGTGGCACTGCTTTAAGCATGATTTGGACATTTATACAACACTCCATAAGCTCCATACAGAACGTTGGTTAAATTAGCATTAGGGTGTTTAATCATTAGGTGAAATAAGTGGCAGGGGAGAGGTTCTCAGTCTTCATGTTGCCTGATTTTACAGTAATTGGGAGATCCATTAGTGAGATGTTTCTGTTTCTTGCATTTTCATTTATATAGCCAGTGGCATTTCAAGGGAGTCACTGTACACGTGATTTGAAAAATCCGAGTTAAAGTGGGTGATACAGCCCAGTGTTTAGAAGGCTGGCTGTGTATGTACTGTTTTGTATATAAAACACACTAACTAACAAGGCAAAAAACATATTTACCATTGTTGTTTTTAGATTTGGTCAGGCTTTCTCGTGACCCTTGACAAATGGTTTCAGCAGTAGTACAACAACCGTGTAAAAAGCAAGTGTGTTTTGGAAACGGATTACAGTACAGTACTTTGTGAATTACAGAGAGGTGATAGGATGAGAAATATGGATATTAGATGATTTAAAGTGAAGAAAAGGATAAATTGAAACTGTAGAAGGTAGAAGAGGGTTGTGTCCTTGTGGGGCAGACACACCCCATACTGTACTCTTATTCATGTGGTCTCCTCTCTGCAGCTCTTGGAAGGAATACCATACATGTCTTCATGATATTGAATGGTAGATGAGTTTTGAAGGTGTGGAATACAGTGGGGTATGCTATAACGAACGGATTCTACTACGAATATTCCTATAACGAACGGTTTTACCTATAAAATTGAGAATGCTATAACGAACGAAACTCCTACAACGAACATTATTTAATTTTTTTTTTCTAATTTATTGTTTTTTTATTACAAATATTAATGATATTCTTTATTTCAGGGGTTTAGATGCATCTTTATGCACTTTTTTACAATTTTTACAATTTTATATTATATTTTTCAGTGTTAAGTGGTTGTATTTGGGGGCCTGGAACGGATTAATCCTATAACGAACGAATGCTATAACGAACAAGGTTCTAGGACCAATTAGATTCGTTATAGCATACCCCACTGTATAAGCTAAATTGGGTTTTTGGTTTGGTAATAGTGTTCTAGGGTCTTGCAACAAAAAGTATCGGTGCATACTGTAGTGTGAACAATTTGAGACCAGTGACGATAGGTATTGGGAGAGGCTAGTTGTTCCAGCCATATGTTGGCAGCCCTGATTGTCAGCCATATGGCAATACCTAGAGGAGGGGGGGGGTTATGAGGATACACTTACCAACCTTCCCGACATATCACAGTGTATACGTATCGTTTCGGAACTTGTCGATCTCACCCTGCACCGATACTTTTTGGTGCGAGTGTACATGGTTACACACTGGTAATGTTGTGTTGCATGTGATTCACTTGGTTCATTATCTTCAGCTAATAATGTCCATTTTACCACAAGCTCACTGAAAACTCGTACATCATTAAAACAAATTAATGTCTTGGGAAATTGTTGTAATTCCTTGTGAGGAATCTTTTTGTCTGGGAGGAATCATTTTGGGACCCCATTTTGAAAACCTGGCTTGAGTTTGTCTAGGTATCTTTGTGTTGATACTTATCTGTGAGGATGTCTGTATACAGTAGTAGATAAACACTTAGTTGCAGGAGTCGCACTATACTGTACCTGTATTACCACCACACTTGAATACCAGTGTGTGATATTGTACTGGGTTATTCTGTGCAGAAAAATGCTTTATGATGATTTAGATGAGTTTGTAACTGCAGTACTGTACTGTGCATATTGGCTGGATGTTACAGGTACAACAAAAGTCAAGGTCAAATGGAGGTCAAAAGTCAAAACTTTGTCAACATAACTAGTCTTGCAGTACAGTTTGTTAACATAACTAGTCCTGCAGTACAGTACTGTACTCTTTTAATTAGATGGCTTGAGTCTCAAAAGAAATTCTAATCATTATGTACAGAAAAGCTTATTATCCAGGTACAGTACAGTATAGTAAATGTCATGGACACATCTGAAGATCAAAGTCCAACACTTTGTCCAGAGCATAATTCTTACACTGTACTGTATTGATGAAGATGTTTTAACAAGGCATAACATATAGGTGTGTTGTCAGTAGACAAAATGCTGTTTACTGAAATCATTTTATGTCAAAGGTCAAAACAATGTCTTGAATGTGATTCTTGTATCAGTGTACAGTACTGTGGATATTTTTTATGAAATTTCATAGTACAGTATACACAAAGTACAAAAACGTCAAATACGTACAAATTTCTGTCAAAATTTAAGGCCACGGCTGACAAATAGATATCCAAAATATTGGTTTGGTAATACAGTAACTTTTAAAGTTGTAGCCCCTTTGATGACACTGTGCATGTAGTGCAGTGCAGTCACTGTAGAACATTGAAGTTAAATCTGACACAGGTGAAGGTCACTGGAAAAGTCAAAGGTGAAAACCTTATCTTGACTACAGGACTGGACAGTGCATTATAACTTGGTGCAGTAGAGATATTCTGATACAACTTCACTCAAGTAAATGGGAATACTGTATTTGATAATACAGTACAGTACAGTTATGTATACTATACAGGTGCTGTGCTGTACTCAGCTCCCAATTTCAAGAATTAGTATCACTGGTGAAGGTCAAACGTCAAAGAACATTCATATTTATTACATTTTGTACAACATCTATAAAGATGTTTTGATGGATGTCTGATAAATGTTCATCAATATTAGACGAAGCACCAGTACCGTAACATTTCTGAATCATCCCTGACCATATCTACAGAGTACCTCACCAATACTGTATGTACTCTCAGCACCTTGCTGCCCTTTTATCTTTGGACAGGGTTTCCTGTCTATGTTCCAGGTCGGTGGTAGATTTGAAGCGGGTTTTATGACTTGGTGCCATTCCTATTGTCAACCTGCCTTTACAGAGTGGGAACTGGGTATTACACACAAGACCTCCAAATGCCCTCTTAGCCAGAAAGACGGGGTCAACATTCCCAGAGACACTAATCTAAGACTGTCTACCTAAACTACTCAAATTCACCACCAGAACTCCTGCAGCCTCCTGAAACTTTTATTTTTCTAGTTTTGTTGGTCTTCTGTCTTACTCCTGCACCCTTGGCTGGCTTATGATACAAGCTCTTAATTAGCCTTATTGGCACGGTTAACGGACATTTTTTTTTTTATACCAGTATATATATACTGTAGTATAACCCTCCCCTCCCCTAAAAGCCTAAAAGCAAAAGTTGAGAGTTAGACATTACATTTTCTTGTCAAATTAAGAAAAACCCCACAAGGAAATGGACAGTTGGCACTGCAAGCTCTGTTCTGATAAGGATTCATTTAAAGATGAATTTTCAGACAGTCAGACTGAATTAAGCACATGTACACTTTGAAAAACTGAGGCTATGGGAGAAAACTTGAGGTGTATCTGGTTGTGGAGTGAACAGAATAATACAGTACCGGTACTTTAATACTGTACAAAGGTTTTCAGGGAATTCTTTGGTTGCATTAAGGTTTATTGAAATGGGATGTCAGGGAAGGTCCATTTCAGGAGGATAAACTTTTCATACCACATACAGTAAGTCTCATCTTTATCAAATATATTTTAATAGGGAGTATGTAGAAATCCTTGAGAGGGTTTGACAGCCAGTTAACTACATCTGGGTTCGGTGAGAGTAGATTGGTTGTTTTGACACATTTCCCAATAAATTGTGAGTTATGGTACCCCTCAACTCAACAGTGTTTATTTTCACCACAGTCTGCCTATAGGCTGTGTTTACCTCGTCTTGTACCAATTTGGGGGGATTGTGGGGATACTTTCTTCATAATTTGTTTTTTTTTAATACTTTTTTTATCCCCATTTATACTGTAAGATGGGTTTCCTCCAGCAACATGAGCTATATCATATCAGACTTTGCCTCCATTGTCTAGTATCTTGTATTGTATTATGTTGTAGTGTATCATACAGCCTCCTTTGGTGATCTCGGGTTATGGACCTCCTTGCTGTGAGCTGGGGCTCCACCCTCAACTACACATAATTTAGGCCGGATGTTTGTTGTAATTACAGTATGTTGCTTTTCCTCGGGCAGTGTGGGTGTTGCTCTTTGTTTATTGCCGTCATGTGTTTAGCCTCTCTCAGCTGGTGATTTAGGTTAGGTGTACAGTATGTTGAGTTACTGTTCTCAGAATATTCCATTTATAATCACCCTTCCTGTTGAGCTTATTTTTTATTTATATTTTTTAAATTGCTCATTGAATTACTGTACTGTATTGTAAAAAATAAAGGCAAGAGAATATGTGAAGGTGTAACTATGATGATATTTGCAATAATTTGCATGATTGATAATTACATTATTCACTTTTATTACTTTTTTAATGGTTTGAAATGTGTGTTGGGAAAATTCAAGACCGTGGTAGGCTGTCTAGGGACCTATATAATCCCACGTAATCAATCAAATGCAGACATGAATCGTCCTGGCGGGCATAACATAACAGCTGCGTGACTTTTACCTACAGGGCTAATATTTGTTAATACCATAAATAATCATGTATAGAATTGATCTGAAAGTAATGTTAGGGAAGTCTTTGTCTTACAATAAAAATTAGTGTTGTTATACTTTTGTTGTAATTCATTGCAGTTATGTTATTGGGCTTTTGTTGATACATTTAATGGATCTTATATATAAATGTTGTACTGTGCTGTACTGAGGGGCTATGGCAGCTGAGTGGATATAGTGCTTGCCTCCTATCCTAAGGGGAGTTGGCTCAGGCCTAGGGTACTGTACTGTACTCTCACTCCACCCAGCTATGAATGGGTATCTAACTACAGTAGTGTTCAGTACTGTATACAGCTTTCATAATTAGAGTATTGTCACCTTCATATTAGGAATATATTGATGTGCCATTGAGAAACTAATAAGTATTTTCTGTCTTTCCAGGGTGACTGTGCCTCCTGCGTGTAGCGCACCATGAGAAACGATGACGACAGAATGAGTGTTTGATATTATTTATAAATTAATTTATTGATAATGGATAACCTGTCTGGGCTGTTTGGAGATGGAGATCTGAGCGACCTAGACTTGGGGGGGGACTCCTTTGGGGGTCCCCCGGGCCCCACACCCGTCTCTGTATCAGAGTTGGACCTCAACAGCTACTCACAGCCATCATACACAAGCATAGGCTCAGGGGCTGGGGGGCCACCACCACAGGGCCCAGGTCAGAAGATGAGTATGGGTGGTGGGCCCCCTCCCTCGACACAGTCCATGTACCCGGGCCCTGGTGCTGGTGCTGGTTACCAATATGCAGGAGCTCCTGGCCAGCAGCCTCCCATGAGCCAATACCAAGGGAGCCAGTACCCTTCATCATACCCTCCATCTGGACAAGAAATGTATGCCCAAAGACCTGTCCAGCCAAATCAGGGTGTCCCTACCTGGAACAACCAGCCTGATCCATATAATCAGCATTATCAGCAGCAGCCAAATTACTCACAAACAGGTTTGACACCATATCAGAATCAAGGTATGACTAACAGCAGTATTGGAGGCTCTATGCAACAAAACATTCCACAAAATTACCAGGGCATGGCTCCCCAAAGTATGGGTCAGGGATATCCTCCTGGTTCTCAGGGCATAGTTTTTCAGAGTGCACCAAGACCCCCTTATCCTGGGTTTGATCCCCAGAGACCAATGGCTTCCAACTCCCCCAACATGAGCCCCTATGGTGGGGCTCCCCCTGCACCTGGCCAGCCTCAGCAGTATGCTATGAGACAGCCATATCAGACAGGACAGTATCCTCAGGGCCAAGTTCCTATTGGGGGGCAGCAGCAGCAGCAGCACCCTGGCCAACCAATGATGGGTGGTCCACGACCTCAGGGTGATATAAACCAATACCCTGGCACTCAGGTACCTAATGGAACACCAGGTTATAGAACATCATTTTCCCAAGCTTCTCCACAAATGTCGCCTCATCCACAACCATCTCCACGGCCTCAAATGTCCCCAATGCCCCGTAGCATGTCGCCACATCCTCGTCCAAACTCCAATCTAGGCATGACCACTCCTGTGTCTTCACCAGCTTCAATGCCTCCAACATCTAGTGTATCACCAGTTCCTGCCTTAGGTGGGGGGCCAGGGTCCAGCTTGCAGCAGCTGGAAAACATGGTGAAGCCATCTGTTGTCGCCGGTAGAAACACACCCACCAGCCAACGCTGCACCACTCCTACCCAGCCTATGCAGTCACCGGGGCACTATGCTGGATCTTCGGGAGTGCCTAGTCCAATGGGAGGCAGAGCTCCTATGTCTCCTGGCATGGGTAGTAGACCCTCAATGGGCACTCCTATGAGTCCAGGTCTGGGTTCAACTAGGCCTCCCATGTCTCCAGGTATAGGACCTGTTACTACTAGGCCTCCTATGTCTCCAGGTATAGGGCCTGGTTCTGTGCGACCTCCCATGTCCCCGGGATTAGGGCCTGGAGGAGCCCGGCCCCCAGTTTCCCCACAGCAGTGGCAACAAGCACGGCCTATGACCCAGCAAAGTTATGTGCAACCAGGCAGCTATTTACAACAAACTAACTTGGCAGCAGGACAGAGGCCTGCACATCCTATAAGCCAACAACAGTCACCTATATCAGCACAGCAAGGACAAGACTCTGTGTTGCCTGACAGTATTTGTAATGTTAGTGATGGTAATTTGACTCCTAGCACTAGTACATCAAGTGTGTGTTTTTCTCAAAGTAACGGACCAGTGTCGACTCAAAGTGTCAATAGCAATATAGTGAATAGTGCAGTAATTAGTTTAGTAAACAGTGAATCTATTAGTGAGAGTGTTCAGGTGCAGGCATCGTCAGGGCCTACCACAACATTGACAACAACAGTTAATGGGCCCACACAAACAATAACAGCCACACAACGTCAACAGCCCTCAGCACCCACCAACGTGCCTACAGCTTCCAGTTCCCCAGGAAGTGTGCCAACAAGTGCCATGTCTCAAAATGGCATGATGCCAAACACAGTGACTAGTAATGGCTTGCCCCCAAATACAAGGACGCCCAACAGTATGTCTCCAGGCAGCCTATCTAGTGCTTCTGTGCCAATGGGGATCTCTCCGTGCGGTCCCCAAGGCTCAGGAATGATGAGGTTCCCCAGTCCACATGGACCTCGAAGTCCCTATCTACAGCAGACTATAAGTCAACCAGGGTATAGAATAATAGGACCAGGGACCTATGGTCCTCAGGGACAGGTGTCACAGGACCAGATGACACTTGGTTCTGGCCAGCTACAACCTGGTCAAGTGGCATCAGGTGGCCCCACTCAAATGCAGCCTGTTGGCCCCACTCAAATGCAGCCTGTTGGCCCCACTCAGATGCTGCCTGGTGGTCCCACTCACATGCAGCCTGGTGGTCCCACTCAGATGCAGCCTGGTGGTCCCACTCAGATGCAGCCTGGTGGTCCCACTCAAATGCAGTCTGGTGGTCCAACTCAGATGCAACATGTTGGTCCCACTCAGATGCAGCCTGGTGGTCCCACTCAGATGCAGCCTGGTGGTCCCACTCAGATGCTTCCTGGTGGTCCCACTCAGATGCAGCCTGGTGGTCCCACTCAGATGCTTCCTGGTGGTCCCACTCAGATGCAACCTGGTGGTCCCACTCAGATGCTTCCTGGTGGGCCCACTCAGATGCAGCCTGGTGTTCCCACTCAGATGCAGCCTGGTGGTCCCACTCAGATGCAACATGGTCCTACTCAGATCCATCCAGGAGGTCCTAACCAAATGCAACTTAGTGGTCCTGGCCAAATGCATCCTGGTGGTCCCACTCAGATGCAACATGGTGGTCTCAACCAAATGCAACTTAGTGGTCCTGGCCAAATGCAGCATGGTGGTCCTGGTCAAATGCAGCATGGTGGTCCTAATCAAATGCAACATGGTGGTCCCAGTCAGATGCACCAGGCAGGTCAGTTGACTTCCATGGCACCAGGCCAAATGCCTTCAAGGCCTGCTGGTCCCCCAGGTCCCACGAACCAAATGCCCGTTGGACGTGGAGGGCCAATGTCTACGTGTTCACCTGGTCAGGTTCCCACCACTGGTGCTGCTGGTCAAATGGGTCCTGGCCAGATGGGTTCTGTGGGACAGATGGGATCTGGGATGCACACCCAAAATCCCATGGGTCCTGGAATGACAACTGGAGGGCCCATGGGAATGCCACAAGGTGCTGTGGGAGGGCCTGGCATGACACCACAAGGACCTCATTCAATGCAACCTCAAATGAACTTCAGTTATGAAATCCAGCAGTGTCAACAACAACTACAACAACTCTACAAAATGCCTCAGAGCGTCCAGACACAGCAAAAGGTAAGTACAGTCCTTCAGTGATAACTTAACTAATTTTTCCAAACTTTTAGACCTTAAATTTCTTATGAAAAATTGTGTTTAGGGCTGCTTCAGAATTTCTGTTTACAGTGGTTATGAAAATTTGCTAAGGATCCTATGTCTACTGTACATATCATTTGACCATGCTCATTAGAAATTGATTTGTAATTTCTTTGATGCTTTGAGAGTACAGTACTACACTGTATGAACTCGTTATAACTTTGTAGCACACACACACACATCATTGTTCTAGTAACTGTCTGAGAAACTTAAAACTTACATGTAGAAGATTATATATATATGGGGGGGGGTTAATGGAAATTCTTGTTACTGTACAGTATTCTTGGTGTGGAAAAGTTCTTGTATAAAATGTTTGTAGGCACTGTGGTGGGTATTCTAAACCAGAATATAATTTTTATAACATTGATTAGATGGGAACTTTTCCCATGAAATTTATTTATGAGAGGAATTTCTTCTCATGAATATAAGTTGCTGAAATACTTTTTGTAAGCAGCTTTTTGAGATAATTCCAGTATAATAAACTTGAATCTTTCCTTGCCAAACCTCCAATGTAATTTTCTTTGTTATGGCTAGATATACTACTGTACAGGTACTTGTTTTATTTTCAGTAAGGATGGTCTGATCTAAAACAAAACAAAAATATTTGGGAGTGTTTTTAAGGCAGCTTTTGAGGCCCTGCATGTGTCTTTGTTTACCATACTGTATCATGGTGGCCAAGGATGTTGGCCTCTTGAATGGCAACAATGACCCTCCGTCTAAGAAGAATGTCTTATGTCTTCTGTGCTGTGATCCTCTTCTGTTTTGGTTGTTGTTTGTCATCATCAGTACCTAGGCCTGGTAGTTTGGGCACTGTACTATATACAGTACTACAAGTACACTACTGGGTGTTCCCACTCAGATGCAGCCTGTTGCTCCCACTCAGATGCAGCCAGGTGTTTCCACTCAGATGCAGCCTGGTATTTCCACTCAGATGTAGTCTAGTGGTCCCACTCAGATGCAGCCTGGTGGTCCCACTCAGATGCAGCCTGGTGGTCCCACTCAGATGCAGCCTGGTGATCCCACTCAGATGCAGCCTGATGGTCCCACTCAGATGCAGCCTGGTGATCTCACTCAGATGCAGCCTGGTGATCCCACTCAGATGCAGCCCGGTGGTCCCTCTCAGATGCAGCCTGGTGGTCCCACTCAGATGCAGCCTGGTGCTCCCACTCAGATGCAGCCTGGTGGTCCCACTCAGATGCAGCCTGGTGATCCCACTCAAATGCAGCCTGTTGGTCCCCCTCATTCATACTCTGGTGGTTTTTCCAACCAGACTACGTAATGCTGTACACTAGTGAACCATGAACTACATTTTACGAATGTTTCCTATTTTATCACTTGCAGTACTGTACAGTACTCTATGTTGTAATGTACATACATTAAGTGAAGCCATGTTAAATGTGGGTTATTAGTACAGTGTAATTGAGTTCTTATTTCCTGTACTATACAGTATATTATTTTAGGTAATAATAAACCTGATGGCTGATGGGATCTAACACACATTATTTCATCAACAACTCTGTTGTGTGGCTGTGAAACCTGGTTGCTTCAGATTACTGTACAGATATATGAAGAAACAGGATACAATATAAAAGTGGAAAGTTGCTGCTTAAAATGTGGCTTATCTAACCAACTTTTTTTAAACTGAGTTGGTGTGAGAGCAAGTGAGGGCTTTGGTCCCAGGCCTGAGGCTGCTGTTTCAACAATCAGGCATTACCTCGGGTCACTTTATGGCAATATTGCACTACAGATGAGTGATACACTTTTTACTGCCGCTTGTATTTTCATTTCTCCTGAGTGAGAGCATCACAAGGAGAGCTATATTGACCATGTTGTGGCATCACTGTGTAGAGTCCAGTGGTTTCCATCCTTATCATGGCAAAGGAACCCTGTAAGCCACATATAATATTTCTGGAACCCCAGTCATCTCTATCTACTCTATTCCCTTCTCAAGCAAAATTACAACTAAATTACATATCAGTGAAAAAAATATACAGTAAACTTCCTCTAATCTGGACCAATGGTGGGGGGGGGGGGGCTGTCCGGTTTGGCTGAAATTCCAGGCTGAGCGGAGGTCTGTAGTGTCTACTGTAGCTGTACAGTATTGCCAGGTGGAAAATTCCAGAGAATGGGAGATTTCTGACTCAAGCTACCTAAGAACACTGAACCTATGATCTTACTGTAATTTTTAGCTTAGACTTAGCACCCTCAGAGTTCATATTCGCCATTTGAAGGATTTTTTAGCCGTTTAGGATTTTAACATCTGTGGGAAAAAGTAAATTTTTCCCGGGTCTTTCTTATGCTCATAGCAACTTGGTGCTGGCTCTCAGTGCTGTACAGCTGTACTCAGTGAGTCACCTATCAGTTGGTGTTGCCGGGAGCTCTCAAACGTCTGGCAGCGGTGCTGTCTAGGCTGTTGTACTTAGATCCATACAAGCCTCTTACCCTAAAAATTACAATACTGTACCTCCATTTGATGGCTCTTTTCATATATATATATTCTGTATATATACCCGTATATATATATATATATATATATATATATATATATATATATATATATATATATATATATATATATATATATATATATATATATATATATATATATATATATATATATATATATATATATTAGAACTGATTTTTATAAACCCCGGTATAGACATTTCTTACTTTATTTCATAAAAGATTTGAGTTCCCATCATTATAAAGTACTGTATTGTGTAGAAATATTCTTTATGGATTTTTTTACAGTCTTGTAGAGAACTTATTCAGGGTCATTATGGCACCAAAATAATCTTTCTACCACAATTACAACAGATGCCATTGATAAAGAATTTGATACACTTTTTCACTAGCCGTAAATATTTTTGCTCGTGGCCGTAGCCTGATATAATAGGAAAGTGATAAGAGAAACATACAAAGTAGAAGAGCATTTCTTATGGTATACATTATTACTACACTATAATATGGCTGTTGTTGAAAATTAGAAGCACATAGTATGTGTTACTGTACTTATTAATTATTAACTTATCATGGGGTGGTTGAGGCAGGAGGTGATTGTACGACTCGCAATGTATGGCACCAAAGGTGGTGCTGAGGTTGCATTTTCTCTGCTAATTTCATTGACTGTATCTACTGTACACTATTCATATTTCTTAAGGCACTTCCGCTGCTTCCTCAGAGGAAACTGTTGAGTTACCTTTCCTGTACAAACAGAGTTTTGTATGTGCTTGGGTTGGATAATGTACATGCGCCTGATGCTGTACCCCAGTCCAGTTTTCAAGGGGATCCGGATTAAGCAACTCTGGGTTAGAGGGAGTTTACTTGTATATATTTTAATGTTAAGCTCAATTTAAAAAGAGTTCCATTTAATATTGTCATTACAATTTTATCAGTAAATTTTACGGAACCCTTGAAAGATGCTTGCCGAACCCTTGTTTTCTGGGAACCCCGGCTGGGAACTGTTGGTGTAGAGTCAGGGACATTACAGTACAGAACAAACACACCAGCTGGTGGCATGTGGGAGAAATTACGTTGATAACTTCCAGTAGTTTTATGGACTAACCAACAGCAAAAAACCCACTTTCTTCTGTGCACTTTCATTGAATAAATGTGTAATTTGGTTGTGAAATTTACCTGTTATTGCTATTCCTGGTTCAGTATTGATATACTGTAGAGTAGTGGCTATCCAGTGTCTGGCCATTTATTAAAATTTCATATTTTATCTGAGCAATGTTATTGCAGAATTCTGTATACTAGATTGACAGATTTTAATTTTGAGAAGGATAAATAGGCTCCACAGTACAGCAATAGTCTAGTGAAGAGGCATTGTCTGGAGTTGTTTTGGGTGTGGGAGTCTTGTCCTCCACCCTCCAGACTCATCGTCTTACAGGCTGCTTTCCTCTCAGTGTTGTGGTCCACCAAGCTGTGGTGATTTTAGTTCATATTAGATTTTCACGGTCCAAACAGCCTCACTGATTTGACATACAATAAAAAAAACTGAAAAAGGCTAAAAAGGAATTGATGACCGCTCATGTTTTTTTTGTTGTTGTTGGCTACTGTAGTTTAATTGCTTATTGTTCAACGTTTCTGTTGTGAACTGGTTGAGTATTCAATGTAGTGTATAGTAGTGAGTCATGTACAGTATAGGTAACCCTGTAGATGGCTCCTCTACCATTAACCGTACTGTACTGGGGTTTATCTTTGACTTACCACCATGTTTTGTCGAGTTATTTTTGGGTGTTAAATAATGTCCTGGTTATAGTCATGTTTTATGCCCTGGCTAGAAACATAAGACACACACACACACACACACACACACACACACACACACACACACACACATTAAGATACCTTGTGTTTACTTATGTCACCTTGTGTATCTTGTCTCAGCTGTGTGTATGACCAAAAACTGTATGTATGAATGTTTGCCATTTCATCAGTCAGGTGAATAAAGATTTAAGTACAGTGCTGCTCAGGTATTCTTCGGTTAACATTATAATAGATATTTTTCCAAGAAGTATTGTTATCTGCTTAGTACAGTATTGTATGTACTGTGTGTATAAAGTTAAGTAGAATCCTGTTTATAAATACAAGTACTGTACTGTACCGGGCCAGTACATTCAAAGATAAAAAATCCCAAACTTTAAAAGTACAGTACAGTACATAATGCAAAAGAGAATCAGTATGGTGTTATATTTAAAGGGGTAGCCATGATTCTAGTGTGTTTGTAAGTTAGACCGCTCTGTGCACTGCTGTCACCCACATGTTCTGATGCATGGTGTGAGGGCATTAGTTTTGTCTATATCGTATTGTGCAGCGCTTAATTTATTTACAGAGAAAATTTGGCCGTATATATTTAAAGACTAGCTGTGTGTGTGTGTGTAGTTGGCGTCTTGTTGAGCAGAGTAGCTGCGTGC